TACTACTACTACTACTACTACTACTACTACTACTACTACTACTACTACTACTACTACTACTACTACTACTACTACTACTACTACCATACTACTACTACTACTACTACTACATACTACTACTACCATACTACTAATACTACTACTACTACTACTACTACTACCACCACTACTACTACTACTACTACTACTACTACTACTACTACTACTTCTACTACTACTACTACTACTACTACTACTACTACTACTACTACTACTACTACTACTACTACTACTACTACTACTACTACTACTACTACTACTACTACTACTACTACTACTACTACTACTACTACTACTACTACTACTACTACTACTACTACTACTACTACTTCTCCTACTACGACTACTACGACTACGACTACGACGCTATTATTTCTTCTGCTATTAGTATTACTCCGATTCTTGCTTTTACTACTGTTACTCCTCCTACTACTACTACTACTACTATTACTACTACTACTACTACTACTACTACTACTACTACTACTACTACTACTACTACTACTACTACTACTACTACTACTACTACTACTACTACTACTACTATACTACTACTACCATACTACTACTACCATACTACTACTACCTACTACTACTGCTACCATACTACTACTACCATACTACTACTACCTACTACTACTACCTACTACTAATACTACTACTACTACTACTACTACTACCACCACTACTACTACTACTACTACTACTACTACTACTACTACTACTACTACTACTACTACTACTACTACTACTACTACTACTACTACTACTACTACTACTACTACTACTACTACTACTACTACTACTACTACTACTACGACGACGTTCACAAGACTTTTTTTACGACAGCCAGCTACCTAAAGCAAAACTCACAGCGAGACTGTTCTTTTGACTGGCGGGTGCAACGGCTGAGCAATGCAAAGCAAAGAAGCTGAGCAGCAAAGCTTTTGCTGGAGCCCCTTCGAGAAGGATCCTAAACAACGAAGCTTAGCAAAGACACACCACTTTAGGTGAACCCAGGGAGTGGCGGGTGGGGAAAAATCTTCAAGCAAGCATGAAGCTAAGTTGAATGGTTGCTAAGCTGGCTGTCGTGCTTGATCCCACAAAGCAGCGGGATCAGCAAGCTGCGAGTAAAAGCATGTAAACAATATTGAGTAAACACAAGAATCGTTCACAAGACTTTTATTACGACAGCCAGCTACCTAAAGCAAAACTCACAGCGAGACTGTTCTTTTGACTGGTGGTGCAACGGCTGAGCAATGCAAAGCAAAGAAGCTGAGCAGCAAAGCTGTTGCTGGAGCCCCAAAAAGACTGCCAGGAAAAAGGGGAGTCTCGCTGCACCACCACCAACTGAAACGGTGAGACGAGCCTGTTAGACACTGTTCAGAGCTGCGACTCTGGCATGTCCCCGCAAAGCATGGGGAGGCCGTAAGGAGTCCATCGCATGGCATGTCCCCGAAAAGCCTGGGAGGCCGTAAAAGCATCATTCCACATTCCAAAGGAGGCGTCATTGAGCTGCTGGTCCTGAAACTCGAAGAGGGAGTTTGGGTAAATCCCAGCCTAGGTCCACACCTGTAGGACAAACGGAGGTGCAGTGTTCCCAAAACCAAAGCTGTCTCAAATCGAGACGAATGCGGAACTGTTCCAGGATCCCAGCGGGTAAGGTATCATGACCATCCCATCTGGACAACCAATCAGCCAATTGATTCCTGGGACCCGAAATGTGGGAGGTGTCCAATTCGAGACCCGAAAAGCAGCTGAAAATCGCTAATCTTTGTGCCAATACACCCAAGCGCTACGAAGATGTAAAGAGCTTGTTGCTAACTGACTCCGCTCCTGTGTTATCCGTCCAGCTTGGGATGCGAACTGCCATTCGTCCACCAGGTATAACCGCGGACACACAATGAAGCAAAGCAATCTGAGCCAGACATTCGTAGCAAGAGATGTTGTCGGATGCATTGGCACTGAGTTCAATCCCTGCAAAGGCAAAATCCGCCAGCTGGAAGCATTCACTGAACCAAATCGTGGCTGTCGAAAGTTTGACAAAGCCACCGATTGCAAATTTGGTTCCCGAGCCCATTGCGTCCGCTGCTGCTACCATGGTAGTTAGTTCTGGCCGGAGATTGCAAAGGGCGGAGTAACGTCGGAAGTTTGGACCAATGCAGCCAAAACTGAAGGAAAGCAACACTGTTGGCGGAGAGAGTTTTCGCTTTACCTGAGCCGGGTCTGCAACCCTAAGCCAAACTCGCTTGCTGGAAAGGACAACTTTCAACAAGTCTTTCTTTTGGCGAATAGGAAGATGTCTAACCTCAAGCAGTTTCGCCCCCACAGGAATGGCTGTACCTGTAGGAGCACGGATGAATCGCATGTGTTCATCGATACAATCGAACACTTCCTGGAAATAACGCGGGTCCACGCTGTGGTTTGTGGCCGGGGGGCAATGTATGTCTTTGTAAAGAATTCCAACCCATGGACGCAGTAATGGAAAAGCACCCAGAAAACACTGAATAAGACCTGCCACTTTATGCAAGTCCCGCTTGTGCACATCCTTCGGATCGGCCAGTAACTTCTGCACATGCAGATGCAGTTTGAGTCGTCTGCTCCGTGGGATCGAAAAGCAACCCGCACGAACATTGACACACCAGCCAATCCATACGACTTGAGGTCCAAGACAAAGCTTCTTCCAACTCAGGGGGATGTTGAAACATACACAAAAAGCAAGGATGAGAGAGGCTGTGGCATCCAATGTAGAAGCGTCCTGGGTGACAAAGAAGTCATCCACATACAGCATCAGAGAATGCCGAATGAAAATAAAAGATGTAGCACCCGCACGAAGAAAGATCCAAGGCGGGCCCACCAGAGCGCTGAAAAGCACGCCCCAAGCGGGCAGACGCGATAAAAATCATGTTGACCATCACACTGTACACCAAGGAGACCTTGGTAGGCATGCTTGACTCGCATAGTCTTCGCAAGGCAGACCTCGAAGAGGAAAGCAAGCCCGGACAGAACCCAACAATGGGAGGGTGTAAGTCTCATTGATATCGCACAAAGCATTGGTATTGCAGATGCTGTTATCGACAACCAATCTGTCGGGTCGACCATCAGAGGAGACAATGCTCAGTTTTCCCACTGCTAAACGATTTGGCCAACGTTGCCGGGCCTCCTCCAAGGAGACCGGGACCAAATAACCGGCTTCCACTTCCTTAGCCACCAGCTGTCTAAGCCTAAGCAATTCTGGGTTAGCCTCAGCAGATGACCAATTGCCCTCGCAAAGCAAAAGTTCAGCATCAATAGTCGAGTCCGATTACCGTGTCATGAGTGGCCTGATGGTGACAGATATGGTGGACGGAAGCCGCCAGTGGTGGCTCATGGGAAGGAGCGCCTTCCTCCTTCTCCTCGGAATCCTCTTTGCCTTCATGTGCTTCTACATGTGCTGCATCTGTGGTAGGAATAGGACCATAAGATCCCCACAGTCGACAACACGATCCTCACAGTCGACCACACGATCCTCACAGTTCTCGAGTACCCTGAGATCTTTAGCAACCAGATGGACGAGCATGTGGTGTTTGCACAGAATGGTGAATGCTACCAGGGCAGACCGATGTGTCATGGCTTGAGAAACCTGACCGGGCAGTTGATCCCAGGAACTGTCCGAGATGCCTTCAGACGACGCTTGACCCCGTGCAGATTGTGTTGCAACAACCACTGGACGATCTATGGTGAGTGGTTGGTGCGGCCGATGCCTGATGAGAAATGAGATGAGCTGATCCGAGTGAGTCTTGCAAACATTTCTCGCTTTTTCCATGACAAGACGCTTTTGTGTTGCATAGAGCAACGGCGCATTTTAAGATAGTGTGTGTACATAGCCTTTTGCGTGAGTGTAGGGAGAAGGCCAGCTGGTAGGAGAAGAAAGGCACCTGAAGATGTGCGTGTTGGCCTGAATGCTTGTGTGAGTAAGGATGCACCAGGACTAGAACAAGATCACGAGCCCCGCAAGAAGGGCCCTGGCGCAGTTGCAATGTACAGTGTGCAATAGCAACATGTTTGTGTGTTTGAACAGTGTTTAAAGATGGGGTGAACTCACAAGGTTGCAATCGATGCAACGGTGGATCAAGGATTCACAGTGGGCACCTGCAGTGTGGTAGCGATACTGCATGAAAGGAAGATTCAAGCAGTCTCGAGGAGGGGTGCAATCGGGAAACCTATGCATGCACCTTGTTTTCCACGGTATTTTCCATGTACATGTTGCAGTTGCAAATCACAAGACCGGATAGGCTTTTGGCTTTGGTGAGAAAAGTCCGTTTGTTTTGACAGTGGCAAGGCGATGAGCAGGGCTTCGGCCTTTTTGCATCTTCGTTCCAAGGATTCTCTAAATTGGTTTCCAACGCAGCTTCATGGGAAAAGAGTGATGACGCCCTTGAGATACAACTGCAATCATCCAGCATCCAGGTGTCGCTTGCTACAGCCACCGTCGAAGTTTTATCTTCGTTGCAGCCCGTGTCTGGACCCAAGGATCTCTTACAGTTTCCGAAGCAAAGCAATTGTTGCCCTCCAACCCTTTTGGACACCCTCCATTTGCTTTTCAAGATGGGGGGGGCATTGGGTCTTGCCCGGATTGGAGTTGTTCCAAATGGTCACAATGAGCTCATCCCACGTGACTTCCTCGTTCAAGGCCACGCTTTCCGCATCCATCAAAGCAGCATCCACATGTTGCTGCTGGCTCAAGGCTATGGCTGCATACACCACGGAACGCACCAAATTCTCAATGTCAACTTTCGAGGCAATTCGTTGCACTTTTGCAGTCTGAGGAGGTTTGGAGGATTTGATCAAGCCGTCGCTGTTGTACATACCAGCCAAACCCAACAAGTACTTGATTCTTTCTGAAGACAACACTTTGGTGGCGATGTCTGATGGATTCTGCAAGCCCGCTATGGGTTTCACTGAAAGAAGCTTTGCCTTGACTAAACCCTGGCACCAAAGGAGTCCAGGTGTCTAATCCTAGACACTCCACACTTCACCAGTAAGCTGCGAGCCGCTGAGTTGTCTAAGCGCACCACCACATCAACCGGAAGACCCGACAAGCTTTCGAGGATGTTCTTTAAGAAGAGTGATTCGGCAATCACTGAGGTGGCCGATATGAGTTCGGATTCGCATGAACTGAGGCTGATTGAGCACTGTGGTCTTGAATATGAAAACACCAAGTTCCCATCCAAATATAGGTGTCCACAGCTTATGGACTTCCTGTCTGCACTAGATGCCCAGTCCGAGTCGCTGATGGCTTCCAACAATCGCGCTGGTCGTTCATCGCCCATTCGTTCCACATCTTCTGCCTTGGGTTGACAACGAAGGGATTCCTCCATCACCGATCTTCCGGGCCGACTCCAGCGCAACACAAGACAGTAGTCTCTCGTAGCATACAAATACTCAGTCAGGTATCTCAGGTGCTTGAGCTGCTTCACCGTAGGCTTACTCATCCCACGTGCTAGCACACCTACACAATGTTGAACGTCAGGTCTTTCCGGACTGATGTACAGCAAACACCCCAATGCCGCTCTGTATCGCCCCACATGTGCCTCGTCCAAGTACTCCGACTCGTCTTTCTTTGTCAGGTCGTGGGTTGCTGGTACCTTACGATGGCGTGGATTGGAAATGTCCACCTGCCAGTTTACCTCGGCAATGCCCCCCTTCCGACGTACCCAGAGCTGGAATCTGCCTCGAAGTTCTGCAATCTCCTCGTAAGTGACTAGAATGAACCTTCACCTCCTGAACGCACAAAATCTCGTAGTCGTAATGGCAACTTGATGCGAAGCAAGAATGACATCCAGGATTGGCGAAGATCCAAAAGCACAGATACTAACCACCTTCTCAATATACTTGGCATCGATATGGATCTTCAACCCATCTTCAACCACTTCCAAGGTCCTCTTGAGGAATTTCAGCTGGTCGCCAATGTTCTTCACAACTGGGCTCACTTCTAGGCGATACTTTTGTTGCAGAACACTTACAGCACTGTTGACTCGATCTTCATATCCGCCAAGAAGTCCATCATCTACATGAATCGTGGCACCAAGGTTCTCACCACCATACACCACGGGGCATGCCACATTGCTCTTGAGGTTGCATCGGGCGAGGTCCTCACTCAACTGATCATGCCAATGTACTGGAGCTAACTGCTGGCCGGGCAAGCACTTCTTGACTTTGGAGATAACGCCATTGAGTTCTACGAAAAGCTCTTCTTTCTGATCTACAATGAGGAACGCATCTTTCACATCAAACGATTGCAGTATGTAGCCCGGGGTGCTCACAAACATGTGGGGAAGGACTCGGAGCATCGAAGGACATGTACTCGGAGCATTGTCCTGTCGGGAAGGGGACCATGCTTTGAGTTCCTTACAAGCCAAGCGTGCACGACGTTGCCACTTGTTTGACCGAAAGCGCCAATCGTACACATGGCGTGTTTTGAGGAGCTTCTCTTTGGGGACATGCACGGCCTCCTCCATAGCTTCCAACACGGACATCTCCAGTAGTCGCTGCAACTCATCTCTCCTTGACACGATTTCCACTTCTTCTAACTGCTCCGGACTTAGGACTGGCGGTCCTTCACTCTCACCTTGACCTTCCCACAACTTCTCAGGGTCATTTTCAGGGCTGTAGTCCATCCAATCATCTTCCTCGAAATACCGGGCATCAAACTCTACCATGTTCCACCAATCATCTAGATCTTCATCTCCCACGTAATACTCGGCATCACCTACTTTGACTGCTCGAACACGTTTTGATGGACTTTCAACCCCAGCATAGAACGGTGGAGCCTGCAACCGCTTCTCTCCTTTACGTTCTGGAGGAGACTCTGCTGAAGTCTCTTCCCCTCCTGTCTCCATCGCCGATCCTGAGGCACGTGCTTCTTTTGGGGCTCGGGCTTCCTCATCCAACTCTGTTCGATCACGTTTTCGATCTTCATGGGTTTCGGATTTCTTCTCACTGTCTGTTGTCATCTTATCCGAACTTGCCGAAGACTCAGGATCAGAGGCAGCTTCATCCGCAGGTCCTTCTCCCACCGCAGGTGGTGGTGGTGCTGGTGGTGCCGGGGCTACCGGTACCACGGGATCCAGCAACGCAGCTGGTTGAGGAACTCGTTCTTTCAAGCCTGGGATCACTTTGAGACCCATCCCTGCAAGACCATATCTCCAGGGCTTTCCTTTGAACTCTCTCAGCAAGATTCGGTCCCATTGCTGCGATTCAGGTAGCCGACGAATCGTCGAACTCAGGTAAATCCCCAGAGCGGTCCCACAGATGTTAAGGTCGTTTTGCATCGTCTTTCCCAAGAAAATTCCTTTCACGAACTTCTCTTTGCCCTTTCTTCTATGCGGTTCTGCAAGGCTGAAGTACACGGTCTCCCCCCACATCGCAAGTTTTCCTTTGTATTGAACACCGAAGGCACGTTCATAGGGTGTGGTTCCCGCCGACACCGCATACTGGTTGTGAAGGGTAGCAGCGTGTGGATACACCCATGGAACTAGGTCAGACTCATTGCTCAAGACATACCCACAAGCACGGACTTGTTGTAACAAAGTACTCCCGATGTCCCTCAAGCTCAAGATTGCCTGCTCAGCAGCCCCATTGGTTTGATGTTCGTGTGGTTGAGAAGGAGCTTTCCTAGTCGCAAGCTTAGCAGCGGTCCTGGCTGTCACAATCTTGTCCAAGAGCATCGCCATCGATGGTTCGTTGTCCCCTCGAATCTCTACCTCGGTTCGACCAAGATATGATAAGAAGGACAGGACCTGATTGGCGGCATACTGAAGACACTGTTTTTCTGTGGACGGAAGAGGGACACCATGAAGCATTCCTGTTGCCCGATCCACGCAAACCAAAATCATCATCTTTCCTTCTTTGGGTTTAAACTGTGAAGTTCTCATGCACTCCAGAGCATCACCCTCCACCGAGCTATACATCAAATCCAAACTCATCACTGGCCAACTGCCTTCAGAGCGATGCGCTTCACCACCGTCGCGATGACCATCTCTTCTCGCTCGGGTAGACACGCAAAGAGGACACCAAGATTGGTATGGGACGTACATGTTTGGCATTTCTCTTGTACAACACCGTCTTGGAACCACTGGACCCAATGCCCAATGCTTTGCAAACCAACTTCAACTCGGCAGTTGTGGAGTTTGAGGACAACCGTCTGTCTTCAACCTCGACTTCTTCTGGGACTGGTCCTTGCAACTCTATCCCCGGTGCAGCTGAAGCCACTTGGGCTTCTCCGATCATCCGCCATTCCTTCGTCAGCTTGAAGTTCTGATTGTAACCTGGATTCCTGGGAAACGATGTTCGAGGCCAGGGACTGTGGACTCTGGTCTTTAAGAACAGTCACGCCAAAGTCTTTGAGATCACTCGGGCGCCGCTGGATCATGGTTAACGTCTTCCGTCTTCGTGGCATAGATCACCCCTGGGAGGCTTTCTTCTACATCTCAACTTGGTCAAATCCTGCTGAAGCTCTACCAACTCCCATCTGCAGGCAATCTTTACCACTGTGGTGCGATATTTCCAGCGATCAACGGTGCCGGGTTCACACGCAATGTGGAATCACAAAGGCAAAACGGATCCAGTGGGCATGAACTTCCTTGGCGGCCTAGCTCATCGGTCTCCCCTCCTCACCAGCGCTCCAAGTCGGAATCTGCCGCAAACTCGACAAAAGTTTGCTTACCTTCGAAGACAGGTCGCATCTGAACGTGACCCTCTGAAGTTGCCTTTCCAAAACCCATGTGTAGCCATGACTCCGGCATCACAGACACATCTGCTCCAGAATCCAACACAACCTCAAAGGACGATGAACTTTGACCTTCGTCTTCTTCCCAACCTCCATGTTCCAACACATAGTTCTGGGCCCACTCGTCATCTTCTGGCAAGGCGTCTTCACAAGTAAGATCGAACACTTCAACTTGCCCTTTCCTTTGACCTTGTCCTCACTCCAAGACTTTCCTCTTCCTTTGGTGTGGTTCTTGCCTTCTTTTCCCATTGTTTTGTGACAAGTTCTAGTCGTAGTTGTTGTTCTAAAAACGATCTTTTCCTTCTTTGCCATTGTGCCACTTTGTGATCTTTGCCTTTCCCTTTGTACTTGCCCTTCTCTTTCCCTTTCCGACCTGATTCAAGGCGCGCGGCCAAGTCTGGTCTAGGCACCCGTGAACTTCAAGGTTCTTTGATCCCCTTTCCTAATTCATTGACCTAACCATTTTTCCGATGCCATGGCCAGGTGCATTTTCCCGATACTTGCAGCGTCTGTGTTCTTTTTCTTCTGGCATTTTTACAGTTTCTCTGGCTTTGGATTGTCTGCGCCGGCTAAACTTCCTCTTATCAATTCCCCAAGCTGGCGCATCCATAGGGCCAGAAGTGTTGTTGGGGGGTCTGATCGACTGGAAATTGAGCAGTCCACTTCTAAGTCACGTTCATATTGCAAGATCACTGTTCCAGTTCTAGCTGGCATCTTGCAATTTGCAGACACATGCATTCTTAACGTTCTGGCAAAGATCAAAGTAACCAGACTTTGCACCCAATGCCATCCAAATTAACTAAGTTCCTTTTTCTGCAAGTTTGCTGCAATGCACTTGTAATCGCAACTCTGGCAGCATTTCCAATGGGCTTTGTCAAAAAAAGTCGAATGGAATGGAAATCGAGACTGGGCGACTCTCAAGTTGTTCTGGCCTGATGAGAGGTCAGTGTGATTGTTTTTCTCGATGTTAGCAAGAACTGCAAAAACATTGGTCTTCTTTGAACCATCAAGAAAACACTGAAAAGAAGCCAGAATCATGAAACTTAGATCATTTTATTTGGATTTAGCAGCAGATTCACACAGATTTTTTTTTTCAGTTTTAAATTGCCTTTGTCCGTCTAAACAGAATTTTTCTCTTGCTTTTGTGAACTTTTTTTGACTTTGGTGAAAGTTTTTTTTGCATGTATGTGGCTGTGTTCATTTGCCCAGTTTTGGTGGAAAGTTGGTGTGGCCGGGTTTGCCAGCGTGGTGCAAGAAAGACGGCCAGTTTGTGCACCCGTCCAAAGAAAGCAGAGCTTTTTAAATTGGATCTGGAGATTTATCAAGATTGGACAAGGCCAAGAGCAGGCTGGTGGTGCGATCAGAATCTGAAGGTAGAAAAATGGTTGTGGGTTCTCTTGTCTTTGATTTTCCAAAATGGCCAAACAGAAAATTCAAGGCACACTGAAATTTGACAGAACTCTGCTTTCTTTCAGACTGGGTGCCTTTAATTCTTTTGTCCTTTCGTTTTGGTTGCGTGTTGCAATTCTTCCCTGGGTTGGGACAGCAGCTGTAAGCTGGTGTGTGCTGTCCTTTTCTTTAAAGCCTTCGAGCCTTTGAAGGTAGATCTTTGCATCTGCAGGTCTGAAAATTTTATGTCCTGGGTATTTCTGCGGATGTATCATTGAATCAGGACCTTTTGACCGTTGTTACCGTGCGAAACGTGCTTTTACAATTAAAGGTCGATCAGGTCGCACTAGGAAGACTTTTTGTCAGATGTTACATTACAACTGTGCACCCCATGAGCAGACAGAACATTACAAAGAATTTGCCGCAAAGCAGCCAGCACGCCAAGAAAGGGTGTTCGAGGCATCATAGATCAACCAACCCGACCATCCGCACACTTGCTAGGTGGCGGCCACTTTCTGGAAAAGGCCGAACCTCCAACATGACGTGCACTCCTGCAACACTTGTTCAAGTTGGAGCTTCCGGAAGCCGCTTGAGAAAAGCAACGCTGAAGAGAATGTTGGCCAACCCTTTGGCAGGTCAAGAGCTCAAACTTAACAAGGATTGTTTACCAAAACCTGGCAGGACTTTGGAGTGCTCTATCTGTTGCTTGCCAACTTGTCTCTTTGGCTTAATAAGGCGTGCAAGAAGTTCATAAGCAAGCTTCCGAAGAGCATAGTTTACCTGAAAGAACATAGTTGTTTCCAGCAGAAGTTTTTCTTGAATGGGCTTGAACAACACGAAAACGGAGATAATCATAGTTTGGTTTTGCGCTTTGCATGAACCCCATTGATAGTAGCCACGTCGCCAAGTACCAGGCGCTAAGAGTAACAGTAAGAGTCCAAATTTTTTGACAGGAAGGTTGTAAGCTGCGTGATCTTGACAGAAGGATAGGTTTCCTTGCAACCAAAGGTTGGACGATAAATCTCAATTCTAAGAGTTTGAATGTGCGCCGCAGTCGTTGTAAGGCAGGTTCTGTTGTTCATAGACGCGATGCTGAGAGCGTTGAGAGAGGGAAGCAAAGTCTTGTCCCTTTGCAAAGCACAATGCGTTGAGACTTTTCCATGTTTCTGAACTTCATCTTTGCTATTTGATCGAAGAGTAAAGGGAGCATGTCAGACAAGTCAAATGTCATCCACAGAAACGTTGCTGCAATCGGATGGCCAGACGTGCAAACAGTCTTTCGTCTTACCCCTTTTGCTGCTACGAGCAAAAGAGAGATAAGTTATTGCACAAGCCTTCTTGTTGAGTTTGTGTTTAACCCGTAACTCTCTTTGGCTTAAGCCCCTTTGGCTCAAGGCCGCGTCTAAGGTGGTGAAGCCACTAGGAAACCGTAGGAGGGGTGGGAGTCCGTGGCTAAAGTCTGGCTTTTGCTTGGACCCTACTCGTAGGTCGACCCCTCTGGGACAGCCCAGAGGCGTAGGTGTTCTTGGTGCTGTGTTTTTGTTTTGTAGCTGGGGCCCTTAGCATTGCGCAGTTCCTTGCATAGCGCACGCTTGCAAGAAGAGTCCATTCTTGCTTTGGACTTGACTTCGTGACCACATTGCAAGCAAAGTTGTCTCTCCTGGCCTCTTGTTATAAGTCTTTTCTTCAACGGTGCCCACCGTTGTTCCTTAGTGAAGTTCCTTGGTATTGAGAACGCCCGTTCTCTCGTGCCAATTAATTTTAATGTTTCCAACCTAATTGATTCGTCCAACATCTGTTGGGAACGCCCGTTCCCTTCCGCAAGTTTTGTAGTTTTTTTGGGTTTCTTGCGCGTCTGTGCAGTACGGATAGCTTCGGCGTAAGGTATCTGCACTATGTCGCAAGTGCGAATTCGTTTTTTACCAAACCTTTTAGCTTTGCGGTGCATGTGAAGAATGGAGCATGTTTTTGCCGCAGTCTGAGATCAATGTTTACTTTTGAACGCCGTGCATCATTCTCGACTGGCCCAAACTGCACTCGTCAGGCCCACCCGGCCGAGAGCACTAAATGTTGCTTGTGGTGACTCTGCCGTTGTAGACGGGGAAGGTGGGTGTTTGTTAGTTAGTGCGCTTCCCCTGGTTAGTAAGAGCGAGAACGCCAAGGAAGTGCTTTGCGCATTGCGCTGGCCTTTGTTTGCTAGTAAGAGCGAGAAAGCAGCAAAGGTTAGGCCTTCGAATAACTGCCCTACACCCAGCAGCAAGCCTGCTTCTCCCATCCGTGCAGCGTATCAACTCATTGCAACAGTGGAGTGCGCTTAGTACAAGTGCCACGCCCCCTAGCTAGTACGAGCCTTGCCACCAGGTACCCGCACATGCACAGGCTCGACGTGCCCAGGCCCGTCCGGGTCAGGCGTAGCTGTAGGTGCTCGCACATGCGCAGGCTCAAGGTGCACAGGCCCTGCTGAGCCAGGCCTGCTTGCAGGTGCCGGCAAGTGCACAAGCTCAAGGTGCACAGGCCCTTCCGGGTCAGTGCTTGCAGGTGCCCGTGCAGGCTCAAGGTGCACAGGCCCCTCCGGGTGCGTGCTTGCAAGTGCCTGCAAATGCACAGGCACAAGGTGCACAGGCCCTACCGGGTCAGGCGTGCTTGCAGGTGCCCGCATATGCACAGGCTCAAGGTGCACAGGCC